CTTAAAAGAAATTGGGTGAATACATCTTATAACTGATTTACTGGTAGTCACGAAAAACAATACTTAATTCTTTAGTCAAATGTTTGCTATCTGCTAATCTCACACTTCTGATAATCATTAACTTCAAAATTCCAACTTTACTCTTGTAACTATGGTTGAAAAGAAAATTAAGCAAAGCTTAGCCCGTTTTCACCCGAAACGAGGGAGGAGGTCTCATTGACTGCGTCAACCTGAAGGTCGTATAAAAGCCAAACGACTACAGTACAACGAGATTTATCCGTCCTCTTCTGGTGAGATCAACCTACGAATCTATTCTTCGTGCATTTCCATACGAAATGAAAGTCCCCTCAACAATGTTATCTCAGGAGATTCATCTAAACCCAATTTCTCTTTGTATCGATGAGTGTAGACCAAAAAACTCCTTACATCTCATTTCTTACATTGAATGTATTCCCTATTCTGCTTATTTAGATGGCTTCTCTAATTTTACGGTTAGCCGCAGGCGCACTATAATCAGCAAAACGAAAAGTTTGAGACTATTTAATCCCTTGTCCAGTGCTCAACAAACTCTGGTTTTTGATCCCAACAGCCTCTGCAAGCGCCCTTGTGCTCAGCCACCATTTGTTGAGTGGGACGACAAGTCTCTCTAACATAAGAGCGACCACATGAACACACAATTTTGTAGCAATCCGATCTGAATAATGGGTCAACTTTCTCTCTAAAAGTGGGCATAACTGAAGAAAATGTTGTAGTTTTCCTAAAAACCGTTTTCATTCCCCACTTCCTTATTAGTTTGCCTACCCATTTAGAGAGAATGTACGTAGGAAAAGACAATACATGAGAGAAGGTCTCCTTACCTCCTTACGTATCCACCTTTCAAAAAGGTATTCTTTATTAATCTAATGTTATTTTTAATCAAACCTAGGGGATAATTATTCTCAAGAAATATTAGTTTAAGCCAATCCAGTTCAATATTACAATGCTCTCAATAGGATAGTCTTATGCTCCATATAATCATAGATTTTTAAATGCCAACATTTGTTTTAGAACTATAGTTGGAGAATAAATTAAAGATAAAACTGGCATGCGTTGGCTTTCTATATGCATCGCTGTTTAATTTCTCACCTGCTCTGATCACTAAAACATCCCAAAACGGTAAATCTGTCTCCGCCATTATCAACTTAACATTGCAGTCAATTTGGCTAACTATGAACAAGAAATTATCTGGACCTATCCTTACTATATTGCCATATAGCAAAGTATTCATCCATATATCTAACTAACAGTTTTCTTGTCAATCCTACCTCTTCCATCAAGCGTTCTTCTATTCTTGGCATGTAATTATTCGCTAAAATGGAAGCCAAACAAGATCCCATTGCTAGGCCTTTCACCTGTTCATAAATCTTCTCATTAAAGGTGAAATGTGTGTTATTCATGAATAGATTAATTAGCCCTAAGATTGATCTATAACTCAGATTTGTTTCCTCAATAATTTCTGGGCTGAGTATTAGTGATTCAATAGCCTTCTCAAATGGGATGTTAGTATGCATTGATATCACACCGAAACTCATCAAAAGATCCTCCTCTAATACTTTGTTGTTCTATCACTCTAACAAATTCATATAAATTCTTCACTGAGCCACTTTCCTTAATTGTCTGTATAAGAATCGTGAAACTATGCCCTGTAGAAGTGGGTGGACCTCGTTGTCGCAACTTGGTCTTGTTGTCAGGGCGACTTAGTAGAAAGTACCTAGTCCGAAGTCGTCTGCCGTAGTAGTTTTTATAATTCCCAGCATCTTTTATGCACTATACTTCCTTAAGTAGCAATAAATCTTAATGAAACTGCGATTCCCTAAGTCTGGCTTTAAGAACCTCCGTCTACTCTTCCTCTCTCACATGAATTCAAACAAATTCCTCAGTATAACTAGACGTGTCCGACTTTACGCAATCGGATTGATGGTTAAAATATATACAGAGAAGGGGCTGATAGTGGTGATCGAACCTTAATGGCGGAGGACAAACGTTGCGTTTACTCCCCTAATTACTTTAAGACACCACTGCTGGTTTCCAGATATGCGAATACATACAGTCACATATACACACAGAGACAGACACACTCGCATGCCCCGAGGTCGACATATAACTGGAACTAAACCAATCACTGTATACCTCATCAAAGAGCTCAGGTATAGAGTATATATACAGTTTTTAAGGATGAGCTTGGAAATTAGCTTAAATATGGTTGTAAAGATGATACCCTGCTCTGATGATATTCGTCATACGATGAACGAAAGCTTAGAACGTTTTCACCGGAATCGAAGGAGATTATCTCGGAAATTGCGTCAACAAGAATTTTCCAGTAAAGCCAATCGACAGCTGGTCAAGGGCAATTTGCCGTCGTCTTCTCATGGGATCGACCCTCAAATCTCTTCACCAAACACTTTCACTCCAAATGGAAGTAAGCTCAGTAATTATCAAACATGAGATTCCCTGAAACTCAACTTTTGTGTGAATGCAAAGTCCAACAATCTTTACTACACGGCACTTCTTCGGTTTCTACCGAGACTATTTGACTAATTCCATTTCTGCCGACTTCTCCTTAGAACTGGAAATTCATGCCACAGTCAATCTTTAAGACATTTGGCGAAACCCAGTTTTTATATATATTTTGGAACTTCAAAATGTTCAGCTACATTATGCTGTTGCCTGTATTAGAAATACATGCTCACCTCAAGGCTTTTATTGGCAGACTTCTTAGTACTGTTTTTAAACATTTGGATTATAAAATAGATCAATGTGATTTTATATCGTCTCTCCGAAAATATAATTGAATTTCTTCGTTCTACTAGCATCATCTAGCATCTCTATAAGACACTCTATGAGTCACCATTGTCATCTGCAGATTAGTAAAAGCTTCGTTTTATACTCAATTTCATGAGACTTGTTTATGAAATATGATTTTAATTGGATAGAAGTTGTTTGATGTCATTTTCGCAATTTGGTCATATTGATAGGAAGACTTAGAGGAACGCACCTAGTCAGAAGTCCATAGTATACATGATACTTTCCAAAGTTGGATCGTAGACGTGGTACATTCCCATGCAAAAAGCCACACTATTTTAGCCTTATAATTTTCACTGTTGTCTAGTCCTCAGAACACTAGCAAATTGAAGTCGATTCTTTTATTCAACGTTTCTAAGGGCACGGATCTGTCGCTTCGAGCGATTTGTAGTTATGGTTTACGGTTAATTTAATTCAAGGCCTGATTTCTCTATAAATGACCTTGCAAGTGACCTTATTAATGTGCCCAAAATGTATTTTTATCTGGAATTGGCTTCATTTTTGAGCCTGACTTATATATTCATTGAAGACAAATAAACTATTAGTCCTGAAAGTACGAATCTGCTACTACTTAAACTCCACTTTTAAGCAAGCTTCCTTAATTTATTCGACTTCATGTTATAGTATAATTCAATTTATTTTAATTTCATAAACTTTCTTCCCTAGTTAAATATTCATTGCGCTTTATATTCTTGATATTTATGTTAAAAAAGATAATGGCAACAAAATAAGTAATAAGAACAATTAGTTACTTCTGTGCTCCAGCTATGTAGCTTTGTTCCAAAGTAAATAAAGATAAGTTAGCTGTCCGTATTTTATGTTTTTTTAATTAAAAAATTCTATAGAAAATTACGTCTGCGTTGATGCGAAACTGAAATCATGAATGTAATCATGAGCCTGCCAAAAAATTCTGAACTTTCTTTGAAACTTTATTCTCTTTTATAAGGTGTTTCAAAGAATTAGTTCATATTTGAGAAATTGGCTCGAATTAAATTGTCTTATGACTTATCTCTGCACTGCAGAACCTTTTAAGGGCGCATCTATGTTGAAATGATGCACCAGCAGTATACATAAGCTTTGTACATTTTTATTCACGTGTGATTATGTGTTTGTATAATAATGTCCCTAAAGTAATCTCTTATACAATTCATTTCCTCCAGGGCATCTTAACCTAGATTTAATATAGTTATCTTATGTATGAGCATATTTTTTATAGAAAAAATGGCGTACCCCTTAATTCATCGTCACCAAAGTGCAAATGTCCCACATGTATCACAGTGGATTCTGCAGATTCATTTCGTTATATCCTTCTGCATAGCAATGTTTCCAGAATGTACACAATTTCCAGTGAGAGAGTTTTTTTCGCAAAGGATTATCTCGCGAATCCGTATTTTCGTCATCAAGAATAGTCCCCATGAGGTTGCCTTCATCTTGCAGACCGCTTTTCCCTTTCATCTATCTGCATGTCTGCTTATGGGATCATCTTTGGAAGATATAGGTTTATCGTGTAACTTGTTCTGCGTTACTGGGCTCGATAAAGGAATTGGTCTGTTTGCGGGAAACGGAGGTAGACGGAATGGTAATGCCTCCTTTAATGGCGGCGGGGGTGGAGGGGGTGGCGGCAAGTCCTCGTAGCACATCTTTTCTACACCTGAATGCATTGTCTGTTTTATTTGCGTCGGGGTTCGAACTTTAGGCTTCGGTGGTCTATTGTGCAGTATCCTTCGCCCAGTTACTGTTGCTTCAGTACCTGCTTGTGGCCTGCTATCTGCTCTACCACTTTCTATTATTTCTGCTTGAGATTCTTCACATTTCTTCACATCCTGATTCATGCTACTCTGCTCTGCTCTTCTGATTGAATTCGATCTCACCCCATACGGATTCACTTCATACAGATCGCCTAGTTGCACTGGAACATGGCCGCGCTGCCTTCTCTCCAGGTCGGCCGACTTGGATGGTTTTCTCCTCAATTGACCATCATGGACTAGGCCCTTGTTATTCTTTGCCGTGCGATCCTGATGCCCGGGACTCGTTAGTTCAGATCTAAAATGCTCATTTTTCATGTCTTTGCTGAAATTGGCCAATTTATCTCTGAAACTCAAACTTGACATTGGCAAATATTCATCATCTCTATCTTCTCCATTTGTTGGTTGTAGACCCAAGTAGTTGTCTTCCTCGTCTCTATCTCGCCTTCCCTGCATGTAGACTTCGATCTCATCTGCATTCATTCCACTGGCGGCTAGTTGATCCTCTCGTGGCATCAACCAGAACGGCATAGGCAAGTTTGGCGTGGATGGATAGCGAGTGTTTAGTCCTCCTAGCGGCTGTGGTGGCAACAGCTGCATCGTCGTCTGACGCTCAGGCGGTGGCGATTGAGGCCGTCGAGTCAATAGACGCTTCACTTTTCGCCAGCTGCGCATCAGTACATTCCTTGTCGGTGCTACTGCATCGTCAACATTGCTCAACAGTAGCACATCTTCACATCCAAGCCTTCCAGTTCTGTCCAAGCCTCTCAAGGAGCTTGCTTGGCCCGCCCTATCGGCTAGGTCGTTTTGACTTAGGCTTCGCTGTTCGATGAACCGTTTCCTCTTCCAATCAGCTGACAATGCCAATCCTGCCTCGTCACAGCGACAGCCCATCTTCGCAGGCTGCTCTTGCCCATCACCGCTTATCCTTTTGCCAATCGTCCACGACTTTTCGCCTGCTTCGTCTTTTTCCTGAAGTACAGATTTGCCTCTTTGACTTGAAGGCCGGATTGCTGCCGATTGCCGTCGATCGTCAGGCAGCGGAATCTTCCGACCGTCTGAAGAAATTATCGCCCCCACCTGTCGTGGCTCCAGGTAAAGCGCTTCGGGAGGCAGATCCCCAAGACCGGAATACACGCCTTCTGTCCCACTATCCATTCTCGCCAGTAGACTACTTCTACTCAAGTCCCCAGTATCAGGCCGGGGGGGTGGCAGTGGAGGCGGCGTTGGCAGGTTGTACTCTGATCGCCGGCCTTCTCTCGGGCCACGACTAAATCTGAGTGGTTCCGATGGTGCTACCACGACGTTTGGTATGCTTGCTGAGGCTTGAACATACCGATTCGTGGCGCAGCAAGCTGAACAGTGTCGACGCTGTTTCTCCTGCCTGTACCTCGGCTTCCCCATCTGGCCTGCACGGCGTCTCTTTCGGGCTCGTCTACACAGACAAATAAAGACGATACAGCAGAGTGCAAGCAGTCCGAAACCAGCCACACCGATTCCAGCTCCCACGAGCAGTTTTTCTATGCTCGGCCATTCAGTTTGGCCATCGTCGGGACTCTCAAAAGTGTTAAATGGTTGCATGATTTGGCAAGCGTAAGCAGTTATTTGTTGAATCTTGACTTCACGCAAACAGATCGTATAAGCTGTACTGCTGCGCGCCGGGCTTATAAACAGGCTGTAAAGCAACTTCTGATCTCTGTCAGTGTGAGAAACACGTGTACGCTCATCGCCAGCTTCTGGATCAGGTGGGTTGTGCAGTCTGTCTCCGTGAGTTGCTCTATCCGGCAAGCCAGTTGGCCAATAGATGACAACAAAGGCATACTGAGTCAGGTCCAGATGAGATGCTGCCTTAGCCGATTCTATCAAGCCGCTGCTGCTATTTCTACCGGTACTATCAATGTCTCCTTTACTTGTCTCCGACTTTCTAGCTTTGATTGCGGTCCAGAGCTCGCGCATCATTGAATCGTGCCATATCTCCGGATCCTCTCGGTTCCGCCGCCAAGTCGCAGTCATCTCGTCGAGACGGACATTTAGCCGTACAGCATTAGCAGCCTCGTCATAGCGGGCCACCGAAAGTAGGCTGACCGGGCCCAATTTTTCAGCTTCCTCGCCCTCTTCAGCCTGGGCGCAAGTTACTTCCGGCTTGCTTATGTGGCAGGTCTTAATGCCCGCGGGACAACACTTTTCCGATAGGCTGTCCAACTCTTCCGGACTTAGACTTAGAAAGTTTCGTCCAGTCAGCCGATTAGAGCCGTGACAGGGAAAGTCGATTGCTTGCTTAAGGTAGATCTGGTATCCAATTGGCGTCTCTCTCATTCCTCCTCTATCTCCATCTGACTCATCCTTGTACTGCTGTCTCACTCGTTCTGTCATGCTGTTTACAAATCTTCTTAGCCATGCCAGTCGACAGTCGCATTCTAACTGGTTTTCACGCAAAATTAGGCCCCCCTGCCACATCGGCCAGTCTCCTTGATTATCCTCCTTGGCCTCATTATCCTCGCCCAACTCTCCTACTCGAGCTTTTAGCGGCCGATCATGCATACTTCTCGCTAGCCACTTTGGTACCCTAGGCAGCAAGTCCTCCAGTGGAAGCGAAAAGCCCAGTGACGGTGCGCAACGCTCCAGAGTGGTCAGTTTGTTTTTGCTCAGGTCGAGGTGTTCTAGCGGTCCGTCGCGACTTAGACTCTGGGACAGCTTGTCAACACTCTTCTCAAAATCGTTGACCATGCCTTCTTTAGTATCAGCCTGGCTGGGAGTTGTCTCGCTTAGACTTTCGAGCCGATTTGAGTGGAGTACCAATATTCGAAGTTTCGTGAGCCTGGCAAATGCGCCCTTTGGGATCCGCGTCAGTTGATTACGCGCCAGCAGTATCGTTTCCAATTGGGTGAGCTGATTCAGTCCGAGACGCAGACCAGTCCCACTGCCGGTGGGCGTAGCGCCAACAACTTCTATTTCCACTTCTTGGCCGGTTTTAGCCAACGGATTCAGAATAGCATGGCCGTTATCTTCTGTCACAGTCTGATGATGAATCGGTTTTAGCGCCTCTGATGTGATCTCACAGCCGTTCATCCCAATGGTCCGCAACGAGCCAGCCAGACGTAAAAGAGCCCTGTTCCATGCGCCCTGATAGGTGCCCACTTGGACACTAGCCAGCCGGATCTCATTGAGCTGTAGCTCCTGCAATTGAACTTCTGCTCGTCTTCCCTGAAAAAATATCCCGTCGACCGCCCAATCGGGGCTTACAGTTTCCAGTGGGTTGGCCGACAGGTGGAGCCTTAGTAGCTGGCCAGGAAGACTATTGGGACCCAGATGACGAAGGCCACTATGCTCTATCCGAAGGGTCCGCAGACTGGGCATTCCAGAATCCGATTTGCTCGTCGTCAGGCAGCTGGGCAGGTCGTCCAAGCCCGGCAAGACACCGTTTACCTGAAGATGTTCGAGTCGCGAAAAGCGCACTAGTCCTGATAGTCGATGCTTCCTGTCGAGTTCGCCCCGACTTGATATCGGGTTGCCACCCAGATACAAGCGTCTCAACTGTTCGCCAATCGGCGAGAGATCGAGGCCCGGTTTTCCCGTTGCGGGCAGATCGCCGATGCTGCAGTCCTGAAGACTGAGTTCCACCAGACGCATGTTCACCTTAATGCCAAAGTCCAGCTTTGCCGATTTTCCGCGTGAATCTAGTGGATTCCCATCTAAACTGATGCTGGTCAAGCGAGTAAATGGCTCAGCCCAAATCTTCGCGTTTCGTAGCAGCTGCATGCCATCCGGTTGGTATTCGAGTCCCAGCCATCTCAAACTGTCTCCTATCCTACTGTGTTGAAATGCCCGGTTGTCAAGACTAGGAAGCTGATTTCCAGCCAGTCGGAGACGTTCCAATCGCTGGCTAAACCCTCTGAAAGCTCCATCTGGCAGTTCGCTAGACAGTTCTACATTTTCCAGCTCCAGTCGTAGCAGGCTTTGTAAGTCAGCCAACTCACCGTAGTTGAATTTGTTCGAGAACAGCCTATTCACCAATGATCCGGAACCCTTTTTCACTTTAGCATCGGATGGCCGAAAAGCATTTCGTATCACCAACTCTTGCAATTGTGACAGCTTCTCCAGACAAGCGCGCTCGAATATATGCATTCGTCCACCTTCAATCACAAGCCGGTGAAGTTGACCTCTTGAATCCTTAAATATTCCTGTGCTGCAAGTAGTCAATTTTGGACTGGCCTTGATAACCAGTTCAATCAGGCCTTTCTCTGTACCACCTACGACTAGACGAGGCAAATGTTCTCCAAAGTTGGCCGAGGCTTTCTCGTTGCACATAATTCGGGCCGGTCGCCATCCTGCATTCTTCAACTCACCTCCAGATCCTGGCGTGAACTCACAAGGCAAATAATTATCGGTAGAAGTGAGCGAGACAACTGTTCCTGTCACTGCCGTCCACCAGCCACCTACCAGCACGGCTACTAGGCCTGCTGAGATGTATCCTGATGCCGCACTAGGACGGAAACGGTCTTTGCGTGTAGGCATTAGTCCAATGGCTTTAGATTCATTTCGAAAAATATATCCTTTAGCGTTTTACTAAAATCTTCAAAGGATCCGAGATGGATTCCGAATGAGACTGACTAAATCACTCGTGAAGTTGATCTGAATGAGACATTTCCTCGAGTGTCCAGCATAGTCCTTTGCGTCTTGTTTCCCGAGTTCTTATTCACCGATTACCGTGATGCTCTCGGAGCTATGGGGGCCACTCACATTCTGCCGGTGATACACGCATCTCTCATGCCATCAGCATACAAACCATCTTTTTTGGCCTCTAATCACTTGTTTCTTCGCCTACCCGTTTGTCTGATCGCTTCTATCTTTGCTTACGGCATCAACGCTGTGTCTATGTCCATCAGCATGTACACGTATTTTGCTATCTCCGCTCTTCTTTATAAATATTTTAGCGGGTGCATGTTTGTGCATCTGCCTGCCCGTCCATCGTCTTCAAGCCCATATATATGTATCTCTTGTTATATATTTGCCTGCCACTCAGATCCCAGTAGAACCTTCCGTCTATTCATCGTTGTAGTTTCTTTTAGCTTACTCTATGCTTAAAGATGCTCAGGTAACTCACTATTTATATCTCTTTCTAAGCGTTTTCTGAGCCTCCTCCCTCCATCCAAATGTAAATATTTCGACCCTCATCATTTTATGCTCAGAGTTAGCTTAGCCCGATCATCTTTTTGTCTGTTTCTACTATCTCTGTATATTTGTTTTAGTGTTCTGGATAATCAAACTTGTAGGATTATCTGCTAACATCTTTTATTGTACTTCTATTGACGCCTATATACTTATTTGCACTCAGGTATGGGTGCATAAATGAGTTTTGCCATATTTTTGTGTTGAATTTATATGAACGATCTTTCATTTTTGATCATTTTGATAAATCTTGTTTATCCCTTAAGCTCCAGTATTTAAATCTTTTCTGGTTCCGGTTTAAACTTTTTATTTCGGCACCTTTGCCTCACATCGCTTAGTATCCTGGCCCGTTTGTGCCACTATTGTTTAACTTTGATGCTGGCTATGCTTCAGAAAAGGCTGGCCTCAGACATCATCGAGATTTCTTCCAGATAACAACGAATTATGAGTCTCAGTTACTCACAAATGTCCACTTTCCTCCGGGCAACTTTGATAATCTCGCAAGTCGATGTCTAGTATCTGTGCTGTTCTCATTTTATGCAACACGAAGCTTCAATAAGCTCACATGTTGCCTTATTCTGTGGTGAGGCTCACTTAATCTTGCCCTCACTGTGTCTTCTATGTGACACATGATATTGACCACATATGCTGTAATCGGAGGACGTCATAAAAATAAGGCTGCACTCACAAGGCAAGTATATGCAGACACATTACGGCCCAAAGCCATCCAACAAATGCTTTTCCGATTAGTCCGTTTTCACAAAAATCAAGTTAAGATATTCTAAACTCAAGCTTCTCAGCTTAAACCGATATCCATTTAGGTCATTAGCATAGCACAGCATCAAAACTACTTGCCTCCTTAAACTATGACTATAAACCAGTGTATCCAAAGGAAACTTTATAAAAGAATGCTGAGCTGGAAATGGTCGCAGACAGCGCGGTAGTTCCGGTTTCATGATAACCTAACGGCACTAGCTCCATAATGTTGGAAATTTCCTAAGTATGGTGAGGGGGAATCGTCTCTTAGTAGTTGCTCAGTTGTCACTAAAATATTGCCGGCCAGGTGACTTAATTATTCCACACCTTTGAAGTCATCACCTTCGCATTAAGCGAGCCAATTAGTCTGCTGCAGATAAATTCGACAAGCAATTGACGATGAACTACAAGAGTTTGGCTGCAGCCTCTTGGCCAAACCTAGAAATCCATTGACTAAAACGACATTTTTACAAGACCCTTTATTCCAGATAGAGTAATAATCAGCTTGAATAAATATTTGTCATGCTTTTTTTGTAATGTTTTATTGCTTATTTTGAATTCCTCTCTTTAGCTGATCAGTTTTCCTGAAAGCCTCCAATCAGGCCGACAGTCGCGCTCCCTTCCTGTCGTCCAACTTAATCTTGATCTCCACTCTTCGGAATCAAATCAGGTTGTAATGCGGACCGGTGGCAAGCTGTTCTTTGCTTCTAATGCGTCATCTGCGGATTCACACCCGTCAGCGATTATACCACCTCTCGTAGGTTAATAAATACTTTATTCCCACTCACAAATTCTAGTTATTTTTGACTTTCATACTATGTAATATTGTTTATTTTTTTATTAGTTGCAAATCTCAATCAGATTTTTGTCCGTCCCTTACCGATATTTTGGGTAAAGGAAGGAATTAACCTCATGCGATTAAGGGTTTCGTAATTTTGGCAGTTTGTATCTTTTTTAAGTTGGAAATTGGGAAGATAAGATTCATAGGTTGAAACTGTTGGAATTTTGATTGTCTAACTGCATTTGCCTTAATTGTCTTTTAGCCGCAGCAGACACATTAAGTCGGTATGCTTCGTGAAACTGAAAGCTAGAAGCAGCACTTAGACAGACCTAGAAAGATATTGATCTTTAGATGATCACATTTATTTAATCACAATCTAAGTTATGACGATCAAGATGGTTTTTTTTCTATTTTGGTTTATGTTTTTCATTCCTTTCGTTGCAGAATATCAGTTTATTCTTTTTTTACCACTTAGTCGTGGTATCAAGGAGATCTAGAGGAATGTATTTCATCCGACATCTGTCATTATAGTCATAATACTTTGGAAGGTTGGACATTGGGTTGGGTACATTTTCAGACATTTTGATGGCAATATTAGTGATCTTTGACATTCTTAGGGCTAAGCTATGACTGGTCAACAAATAAATAGGTCCATTCCTTGATCAACTTTTGCTTGCCCTCGTACATTCTCCTATTCCATTCCTCACTTCATTCTTATCACAATTTCTAAATTGTTACTCCTGAACTTATAACGGGTTTAGTGAGGATTAATTATATTGTATGGCTATCTTCCTCTATTTTTACGCCCAAATGGCTGATCGAAATTCACCCTTTTATATGAATTGTATTGATAGTCTCGAAAACTTACTTATAACCAAAGCATTTGTCCTTATATAAGTGGGTGGACCTCGTTATCACAACTTCGTATTGTTGTCCGGGAGACTAAGTAGAACGCACCTATTCCGAATTAGTCTGCCATAGTAGTTAACCCAGCAGAGGACTTCGGACAAAGTGAGTTCTACTAAGTCGCCCTGACAACAAAACCAAGTTGCGACAACGAGATCAGTCTACTTCTATAAATCGAAAGGAGACCGCGACCATACCGGGGGTCTTCATATCTTTTAGTAAATAGTGTAT